CAGGCAAGTGATCTTCAAAGATTCTCCTCAACGTAACGGAGCACTCACAAGTGTTGTTCACATCTTACGTGCAGTCAGTTTTTTGAGAACACTTTAAATATACTCTACAAACTTATAAGAAAACCGTTCGAAAAGTTTCACTTTTTTCTTTATTTGAAACAACTGTTCAAGAAAATACAATTTTAATTAAAACATTTTAACTGCAATGATGATGTTTGTATTTATTTGATTTAGGTATTTTGTATAAGGTATTTTGGTACTGACATGTTCTAACAAACCAAAGTCCCTATTAGAAATAAAAAGAAAAAAAACTGTTTCATGTTTTGCTAAATGAAAGGTAAATCTATACATATTACTTAATACAGGTTAGACTAATAATGTCGGCAATATCTAATTTATATTACTATGCGATTATCTCATAAAGACGATTAACATCTCCATGTTTAATAAATGAATTTTAAATTCCATGTTTATTACGACATAAGCCATAAGCAAATTTAATAAAGCTAGTAAAGGTCGATACAGATGAGGGATGTAAACAAAAATCTGCTTTATTTCTTGCTGGTAAAGGCTTAAATACGAATGCATGTATTGAAACGTCTATCTCTTTACAAGTTTTCACAGTTCAAATATTACACTGAAAACTTTAAGTTGATTATTTTATTAAAAGATTGAATAACTCGTTTTGATAGATAAACTAAATTACTACGAGATAAGGTTTTACTCTGGACTTAGATCAATATTAGATTAGAAACAACACATTCTGGCGACCTATCCGAATTTAAAAAAAATAACTACTTAGTCGTATAAAACAGGTGAATAGAACGTTCAATTTTGCATTAGAAAATTTAATAGTTAAATACGTGCGCTTTTCTGCTAATTACAAAGGTTCTTTTTCTATTTATCAAGCTAATTGGACGGTTACCGGCTTTAACGAGTACAAAGAACAAAACATAAAACTGTGGCTCGGAGGAGATTGGATACTGAGAAAAATCCGTCACAGCGGCGGACTTTTCTTATTGTACCGTACCATCTGATAGACGCCGCGTCGCGATAGTCTTCCAATAAACCACATTTTACTTGAAAATGGATGTGCACATTTCTTTTTTTTACTTAAAACTTACATTTTTTACAATAAATTACAAATGTGTATGTTTATTGCTATAACACGTTAATTTTATTTTTAATATTATAAGTGCGAAAGTTGGATGGATGTTTTTAGAGTTTGCAACCTAAACTGCTAAATGGATCTAGGTGAAATATGACATAAATGTAGAGGACAGTCTATGGTACAAGAACACACAGGATATTTGCTTTTGTTTTTTTTTTTTTTAATTTGACGTGGATGGAATCGCGGGAGAAAACTATTTCAAAATAGTTCAAGCTTAACACAAGTAAATCTTAATTGAAATTATTTGATGCGCCTCTGGCAAGTGTTGCTATAAAATACTATATAATTCCAAACTATAAAAAAAATACATATAGTAAGTACCATTACTAGAATGTCTCTAATACTTAAGAAATCTAGCAATAGAAAGAATGTAATATGATATTAAAAGAGAAAGAATATATCGTAGCATTATACGACTGTCAAAATGTTCAACTATTTCTATTGTACATAGAGGAGATTTGCGCTTGTTAGAAATGAAAGAGCTTTCAATGTGAAAGCTCGTCACGCGCGAGAATCAACTCTATAATTAAAGCTATTCATTTTAGCTGTAGTACTAGATGTATTCATTAATTTAATACTCACAGGGTTTTTAAGGTTGTAAAGTAAGACTGGAAACAACATTTTATGAACATTTTCTTTTATAAATGGAAGACTGAACAAAGGTTATTATCGAATAGTATTATCGTATACATTACTGTTTATTCTCTTATCATTTAAACTCTCGAAATTTACGTGTTTTAAAAAACAATGATTTTGTCCTATCCGTAGCAAATTTCGTAGCACTTGTAGTGCAATAATGTTTTATACATTAGAGCTTACCAATTTAAAAATAAATGATTTCCCTCATATAAAATTACACTTTCAAATTAAAATATTTATCACATAAAAGTATAATATTTAAGAGAATTTTTTTTTCTAAGCAATGTCTGGTGTTGTCGTAGCAGATTTCGTAGCGTTTGGTTACGATAGTCTACGTTTGACTTTATTCTTAAGTTAGTAATTATTTTATTAGATACTAGAGTATTTTATAGCGCTTGCCAAAATTATTGATTTGAATAAAGTTTCTTAGAGTATGTATTAAAATTGATGACTTTTTATTCTATTTCCTATGTTTAGATGTAGATGGGTATTTTATTTATGTTTACTAATGGCTTAATTAAGTACTGTTATCTGAGATTCTCGACTGGTATCAACTCAGTTGCTCGTTATAATTTCAATTTGACTGATTTTAATTCCTCTTGCTCGTGCTGGAGTGATCAAACTAGGTCATTGAATATAGGTATTAATAAAATTTTACTCGTATTAAAATTTTAATTTTGTTTGAAAGTTATAATTAATTAAAATTTAATGTATGGGGAGAAGGTCAGTGGACTGTAGAAATAAAGTTCACTCTCTTTTTTTTTCGAACTAATATATAATACCTGGCTTTGCTTGTATTTGTAGATTTATTTGTGGATCTACATTGAATGTACTTTAAATTTTCATTCTTTAAATTTTGGGTCCTGATTGGTACGGTCATTATAAATAACTATTTATTTATTATTTTTTTTCGGCATGAAGACTTACGATATTGATCCCTCGAGGATTGCTTCATGTGAGAATCTAAAAAATAAAAATATCAAAGCATTGAATCCTTAACAAATAAGATATGTAACCTTTTTACTGTTCTCAAAGAATAAACAAAGCAATTTATTATAAAGGCATCTTGAGACAATATGCTTTATAGCATAGTGTTTCGGTCATAGGTCAAACCCGGATGATCGCTGACTCACACTACCAATAACCCCGAAGCGGATTTCGTTTCATAATAAATACATACTGCTTTGTTACACTATTCCATTTTTAAAATAATCCATTCTACAAACTGCTTTGAATAGACTGGCGCGTTTTATTTATAAGGAAAAATAGACTTTTGCCTTTAATATTCGATTTAACGTTGATCTTTTTCATAAATTTAATTTACCCAACTCTCACAGACTAACAGAAGGATTCTATTTAAGTATGTACTTTGTATAAGTTATTATGGACGAAATTTATTGCGATGGACCGCTATGAAAATATTAAGTGGTTACTTATAATGTATTTTCTATGTTCTCAATGAGTATGATATAGAAAACTTTAGCAATTATTTTGCTTTATATATAGGTTCTTTTCCATTCTAAACTTTCTGCCCCGTACAGCCGCGTTGTGGAACGGTCTGTCCTCGGCGGTATTTCCAAACCCATAAGACTTAGGGTCCTTCAAGAAGCGAGCCTATTATTTCCTCAAAGGCCGGCAACGCATCTGTAGTTCCTCTGGTGTTGCGGATGTCCATGGGCGTCGTTGACCACCTTGGTGTTCACGCCGCTCGTTTGCCCACTTTTATTGTATAAACATTAAAACTGTTGTATCTTATACCCCTTTTTAATAATACATTTATTTGTGTTTGTAATATTTATTTGTATTTACATACATTGTTACGTTGGTTTAATAACATAGTACATAGTTGCAATAGCCGTTGCATTCGAAGCAAAAGTATTTGTACTTTGACGTTACGACTGCTGATTGGGGTGTCTGGAGGATCAATACTCTTTCCATCCCCTCGTTCTGTTATTTCTCTTAATTAACCAACCTTTTATATTTACAGGTAGTTCCTAAATCCGTCTAGATGAATGTCAAAACAAATTTAATATATCTTTTGTACCTCGCTTGTCTCATATAACAAGAAAATTTTCTAACAAAAATTAATTCCAAAAATGTTGTAAACAAAAACTCAATATCAAAATAATAAATGTTGAACATACATCTTTTTCATGTTTGACCAACAGCGAGCAGCCGCGAGGGGATTTTCCCATTAAGCAGCTAATTTCATACAGCCCGGGGCTTTAGCAAATGTTTTCTTGGGCGTACGTCTCGCAGCGAAAAGCGTGGGACGCTCTCGCCGCTTCTCGCGCTTTGTTCCACGCTTAAGTAATTTTTATTCAAAACGTGACTCGAAAACAACTTAAACGTTTAATATTTATAGGTAGCAAACTTATCACTAAATCACATCTTAATAATTAACCAGAAATTCCAATGTGTTTTCAATTTAACTTAATGTTAACATATCAAAGTTAAACGCAACAAATGTAGTCTAACTAAAATGTTTTACATAGTTTCATTCTATAAATTAAATATGCAATTACGAGGATTATCGTAGCCGTAGCAAAATTCGTAGCACTCGTAGCACTAAAATATTTCAAGTTGTTGGAGCAGTTACTCCGCTTTTACGATTATGCGCGACATACATATGGTAAGCACCGCCCACAAACACCCAGCCGTGCTGCACGCTCATTACGTGCATATGTTTACATTATTCAAAATCAGCCTCCCTTTTAAAGTTTACATTTTCAGTTTTTAAACATTCCTTATAACATTGCATTTATAATTACCTTTAAATACACCCGAAGGGAATAATATAATATTCTTGTGGCTTTTGAGTATATCGAATAATATAATATAAGAAGTTAGTAGACGTGGCGTAAAAGTGTGCAAAGAGGAAGAAGTGTGCGTCGGCGGCAACGAACGCTGGCTGGAGTGAAACGCGCGGGACGGCGGACGGGCGGCAGCGGGGTGCTAGCAGCTGGCAAGGGGTGGCGACGGAGGGGTGCGGGAGGAGGACACAGGACGATCAGGGGTATTTTGCGGGTGTGCAGGGGGAAGGGGAGCTCGGTCTCGGGTACAGGTGCACCTGGGCGGCGGCCGGCGCCCGGCGGCCCACGTGCCCGGGCCTGCTCAGCCCCGGCGCCCGCAGTCGCGAGCGAGCTGCCGTCGAAGACGGACGCGTAACCATTGCTCCGCCCGCCTCAGCGACAGGTGGCGCCGACGCCCGTCGCCTGCGCGCTTCGCCGCTCCGCCTCCGCCAGTAACGCCCGGCTTCGGCATGAAACTTTAATTACGTGTTTGTTTAGCAAATAGCCGTGCAGCTCTCGGCTTCTCTACGATATGCAAAATATAATTGCAAACAGTTGATCAAGTGTAGTTGTACCGAATTGGATTTAACTCCAAATACTGAAAATGGCTGTTCTACATGTTTTTGGGATTTAAAAATACCGCCACTTCTTGTAATTCTGTAAGTAGATGTAACCAAATTTATAATTGTGATTTTAGTAACGTTAAATTAGTTTTGTTTTTAATTTGATGTAATGCATTTTTATGAACATTCACAATCGTAGAAAAGATGTGGTGACGTGGAAATGTTTTGTTCTGAACGTTAGGACCTTTGTGAAAAATCTGCCACATTTGTTGAAACTTCAGAGACGGCGTTTGTTATAAAAAATTAAATACCAACAGAATCATTTAAATTAATACATATTTCAAGTAGGAAAGTACAAATTGTGACTTTTTATAGCTATGTTAATACAATGTTTGCAGTTATAAGGTAACAAAATTTAAATACTAAAAGTACATTAAAAATAAAAATATCTTTTTAATGTTGAGCATTTTGTAATCGTACTTAGTAAATTGTTATTTTGCCGTATAATTTTGTAAAGAATAAGATAACTGCATACGAATTCGTAAATGATTTAAATGTTTTTGAAATTAAGCGTCATTTTCGAAATTCCTGCAAAGTCCAAAACATAATCCCAACTATACGTCGAGAATCAATATTTGCAATCAAAACCAATCGAGATGATATAAAAGCACGAATGATATAACAACGCAGAACATCCGCCAGACAGCATTGTTACAGATCTGATATTCAACTTTTTTGCTTATCGTTTTCTTCGGAGCTATTTTTCTTTTTCATATATTCTACTTTTTCTACGAGCGCTTACGAAAACTCGCAGAGAAAATAAGTGATTCCAAGAAATTAAGTTAGAATTAAAGTGTTTAGTAATTCTGTACATTATAAAATAAAGTAAACGTAGATTTTAATCTTTATGAGTTAAGTATAAAAAAAAACATAAATTATGCTAATACAAACTTCTTGTATAATTATGAAGACTATTATCGTAATAAATATTGTAAGTATTTTGTAATAATTCAGCTTACTCCCGTTTCAGAAGCCTGATTTATAGATTTTATTACAATTTATATAGTCTTGTGAATCCTCTATTATTATAAGAGGCACTCCCATCTACATAAATTACGATAAGTATCCATATTTTCCTTACAGTTGGTAGTTACAGCATAACTATAAAATTATTATCATAATATTCCTAGCGCTGCGAGAACATAAACGTAGCAAATCAAGCTTTATACACGTTTATATAACCATATCTAATCTAATTTAAATATAAAAAACTGTGTAAAAAGTCTGAACTAAAACTAAAATGAATATATTAAAAGAAGCTTGAGAGTAGCCCTAGTGGTTGAGATATTAAGGAGTAAAAATTTGCTTGGTATGGGCATGTTATGAGGAGGGATGAATCGCATGTAACAAGAAGGACGTAAGTTATGAATGTGGAGGGATACACTGGTAGAGTTAGACCTGGAAAGAGACGGATGGATTGCATGAAAGGTGATATGATCAAGAAGGGAGTGACGACTGAAATGACAGATGATAATGTCATTTGGAGGACCCGATGCTTGGACCTTACAGAAGTATAAGGTAGGGCAGATGAAGATGAACTAAAATTCTTATAAACCTAGGATTATTAATTAAAACGAAAGAAGGTAATTATTTTAAAGCTTCATAATATCTTAAATAATATATTTCATACCTTTAGCAAAATACAAAGTGAAATTCTATAATCAATTTACTGTACTAATTGTAAGCACGGTATTAGCTGGCTTAGACCTTGTTCGATAATGGTCAGCGTCGAATAAATTATCCTTTGAAATTAAGGTTCCATCGGCATCCAATCTCACTTTGCAAACCCATGTCAAATCATAATTTACTTGTGAACTATCTAAAAATAAAATTTCATATATGTAAATTTCAGTGATTGGAATGAATGTGTTAGAACATTTATGTATTTTCAGTCGAATTCACATAGTTTTTTCAACATATTTATTTGGGATACTGCTTTCATTCTCTTCTCTCGTTAAATAGTCGAGTATTCCCCTCTATTGCCAATATCCACAAGTTCATTTATTTCTAAAGATTCCTCATATATTAAGGTGTTATTAAAGTTTTCAACGCCCTTTTCAGCAAGGCTTTTGTGATCTATCAGAGCCTTGGCCGTAATCGACCCTTAACTATTAGCTTCCTTACCTTATTCTATGAACTTTGTTCTCCACAAATGACTTAATTTTGGTTTCAATGTCCTTTATAACATAAGCTTTTATCCCATCATGTAAATTTAAACATTCGTTGAGAACCGAAATGTCTTATTGTACTATTACTATTATTTTATTCATAGACAAACATAACCATAATCTTAAACTTATTCCAATTTTGTTTAAATGATACAAAAATTCATTATAATGTTAAAAAATTTATTTAAAGTCGCCAAATTAATACGGTAAAATTGATTTTTTATTTTGTTCTAAGAAAATCGTCAGCGCTTCATTACTCTTTTTATCTATTACTTTATAGCTTTCGGGATTTGTTTTTGCTATCAAACTTTACTGAACTCTGAACTGCGTAATATCCAAGTTTGGCGTTCAATTTGCAATGTCTCGCTAAATCGGAAAGTTCAAGACAATGTAACATTATATTCTTGTTTTTAGACAAACTAATGCTAAGTTTAGTTTATAAATTAGGTTTAAAAACTTAATAAATAGTTTGGTTACACAGATAATACCTATTTTATTTTCTTCTAAATCTTGCTGCTTGTTTGTCTTATTTTGAATACATCGTTTGAAATTTCACGTTGACATTTTTTTCTATTCTCGTTTCATATGATTTTTATTATTATTTCAAATCGTAGCAATAGAAATAAAACTACAATATGTTAGATATTGTTATTTTAACACTTGTCATAAAAGTAAAGTATAATAGAAGTGATTCTATTCTTTACAGGGTAGGGGAAAAACGTCATCCATAAATTGAAGGCGATGGTTATGAGGTCGCAAGTGCGTGACACGTATTGTGTAGCTCGCGCCCTCGTCTCTCATAGCTCCTTTTATTACATGATCTACCGCGTTACCCTCCTTATCTCTCGAATAACAAGTTACTGCTTCAATTTAAATTGTAATGTTAAAATCTGACAAGGAATAACGTTTGTGAAAAGATTTGAGTGAAATGTGTTGCGTATCAAATCAATCATTAAATACGAGTAACTAAGTAACTATCAAACCCGACTATTACTGTTACTATGATTATGAAGTTAAGAATTACAAAAATTAATATTACACAATATATATTCATAGTATGGATAATGAATAATTTCCGTAACAATTTTTTTTTTCGTATTTAATGCTTTTAAATAAAAATCTGTATCACAAGTAGGTTAAGGATTATTAAAGCTTCGCTTTTTAAAAATGAGCACAGATTTTTATAGAACGACATTCAGACAGAAACCATTAAAATAAAATCTATCTGTCTCGTATTACTCTGGCAATGTTTTTTTATTTGCTTTAACAAAAAAAATGGTGAAAGTTCTCTAAATACGGACGAAGAGTCGCATCGCATCCCACGCTAATGATCTTAATTAAAACATTCAATTTGAAATCAAATTAAATTAGAAACGTAGTTTTATACAAATTGTGACAAAAAGTTTTGAAAGACTTATTCAGGTAATGTCTTAAAACTAAAAAAACTGTTTTAACGAATCATAATAACCCATGATACAACAAATACAATATTTGGAAATACTCTTTAAGGTGAACAAGAAAAACAATATGAAAAGTAAAATCTCATAATTACAACGTTACAATTTAAATATGCGCTTTATCTCTTTGATTTATTAAAGGATTTAAAAAATATCTATCGACCTTGAGACAGACAATGATCAAATTGTTATGTAACCTAACCTAGGTCATGCGAAATAAGAATTTTTTAAATTACAATCTTGGCATGAAAACATAAAAATATCGTTACACATAACTTCAAATAAAAAAAAAACTTTCATGTCCTTGAATATGCAAACACTAGAATAAAAACAAATTTAAAACTATCCTAGTATTTGTAATAGAATCGCAGATAGGTAAACTTTGAATGGCCATTTGACGCGTGTTACGGACATGACCCTTGTCAGTGAAACCAACCACGATAGGCAATAGAGCGTTCAACCAACACCTCGACAAATTTATTAGATAGCGCCATCGATCACTGACAAATTAACTGGAAGCGAATAAACATCGCTTTATTTAACCAAACTGTTGATTTGTTATAAAATATATAGAACTCTATAAATAAATGTTCGGCGAATGAATCGGAAAGTAAAATCTGATTTTAGAACTCACATTTATAGGCCATTAAATGTAGTTTTTTCTTGTTTTTTTAGGAATTCTTGGTTCTATACTTAATACTAGTTGAATTAAAAAAATGTTTATTAAAATTAAACTAAATAAGTTTTATTTAGGAAATCGTATTCCGTTTTCGTCATATCTTTAAACTTTATAAATCAAATTTGAATGTTTTCATTTGAATTTGAAAGGTTGTGATTATAGATTTGTGAAAGTCTGGATTTCGTATAAGCGGTTTTCTCAACGATTTTATACATTTACACATCGGTATTCAATTTACATAGAAACTAGGAAATTCGTTATTAAATTAAATTTAAATTTAATGTAAGCATTTGGAGGAACACGGTACCATGTTAAATTAATTTCCTTGGTCTTTGAAAGCAAACTTTAACTCAGTTCTCACAGAATAAGTATAAGTTTTGTAAATAGTAATAAACACTGAAGTCAAATATTATATTTTTTTAGGAAACATTTTTCTCTACTTTATACACAGTTATGTAAATTGCATGCTACTCAATAAGTGCCTGAGTGTGGATTTCTTATCCTTAATTAACAAAGAGTTTTTCAGTGGCCATTAAAAGAGTACGGAAAATAATTTTGGTATATTGTATTGTTGCAGACTAGGGTAGGGTGAGGGCGTGCTGAGCGTGAGCGGCGGCGGGCATGGCGCGTCGATGACGCGGGCCGCAGCGCGCGGCATGCCCTGCTGACATGGCGCCTAGCCGCTCGGCCCTCCTTACGTTGGCAGCTCTCGCAGCACTCGCAGGTACGATGTACTATGACACCAGACATACAGTCCTCTTATCCCCGATTAAAAGGGTTACTTTTGATGAATTCTCCATTGACAATTCTAGCCTTTAACGAAAACCTCAGCGGTTTAACTGGTTTTGAGACGTCAATTCGATTCGCAATCTTTACTGATTTATCATAGGAGTTCGTGCTAACTATACAACATATTTCAAGATAGGTATTGTATAACTATATGTTGGGAACAGGAGGAGCTATTCATATTTTTCACCTTTCTTTATTGGAGAACGGACTGATTGGATTAGACAAGAGTTAGAGAATGGATGGTAAGATGAGTTTATAACAATAAGCATAGTGAATCTTAAGACCTTATCGGCTTTATAAATATTCAATCAACTTAATTCAAGTGAGGTCGTGGTCTATATTAATAAAGTCTATTATCTTAACTGGAGAGTACAATTTAAATATGTAATAGAAAGACTACTGACGATACAATAATGATTATTTAAAACATTATGCTGGAGCGAGTTTGCCTGCAGACAGAACTTACTTAATAATAAAATAATAGTTAAACGTTGCTGAAACGTTGTTAGAATAATTCAATTCTTTGCATGAACTTGGATTATATTGCAAGATATAAAAACATATCTTCTCTAATTTAATTGAATGATAACAATAAAATTATCAACGTAGGTATAGATTTCTGCAATAAACACGTCAAGTCAATAATCTCGTCATACAATAGAGAAAGAAATAATGTGTCAGTAGTTTGTTGAAAACCAATAAAAGTTTTAATCGCACACTAGAAGATATGAACGAATGGGCACAAAAAACCGATGGAATTGGCCACAAGTAAAGCAGTGCCAAGTCTTTTGTATTCTGCAGTAGCTCTCAAATTCATTCACTGATGTCTGGTGCGCTGCAATGGCGATGCTTTTTGTAACTTATCAATGCTATAAAATTCTCAGCCTTTATTCGCTGAGGGAGAGAGAATGCATTAACGTATTCCAGCAATTTACTGTATTCAAATGACGCTGTATTTTTTAACGACACGCGTTTAAATTCTTCAATGCTAAATTTTAGTATACAAAAGATTGTGGAGTGCATTTATATGGCATCACAAGTTTAAGTGGTAACGAAACAGTAGACACTCGTGTTGATTTTTAAAACATTATCCAACAATATTCATTACTACCATAGCTGTTCCCGTGTGGCTTCAACCGCATGGAATTATAAAAACTTTATTTTATTATTTCTTCTTAAAGTACCATCTTCTTTCGAAGTTCGGCGATCGTTAGGGCGACTAGCGTTCTTGACACCGCGGCTCTGAAGAGTAAATGGGTGCACTTTCCAAACCAATGGTGTAGGTTTTTGAGCCAGGACGTTTTTCTTCTTCTTTTATTGTTTACATTTGTCAAATTTTCAATTGTAAATGTCATAACTACCGTTACCATAATAACATTGCTTCCTTAATGTTGGCAGCTCGTAGTTTATGGTCTATTTTCCACATGAAGGTTGTTTTTCTAATTAATTTACCCCTTAATTCTAATAGCGTGGAAATATATAGCTTAAAGCATGTCGTAAGTGTAGGGCTTTTTATTGAAGAAAGAATTATTCAAAAATATTCTGTGATTGCTGACATCCTACGCCACAAAGTAGTGTGTTTACGCTTTATTATATTAGTATAGAAATATAGATTAATGTATGTTCTTAAACCTTGTTGTATTAATAATGCGTTCAATTATGTTTGAATGAATGAATTTACATTGATAGTAACACTAGTTTTATTGTGTTTTATTTAAATACCGCATTTTTGTTATTTTAAGTCGTCTTTTCATTATTCAAGTTGTTCTGTTATTCAAAGATAAATCTATTCCTAAATTCTATATCACATCGCTATAAATTCCGATTGACACTACGCTACACTGCAATTTGAAACAGTTTCATTCGAAATGCCCTGCAATATTCGACATCCTACTGAGGCAAGTGGAACGTAGATCAAACAATATGAATATCTAATCGAAGCCAAACGGAGGTTAGTTTGGGCACGTTATACAATTTCGGCGCTTCCAAGATTTATTAAGAATGCATAAGCTGTTCCCAACTTGCATATAGCCGCTACGGGGCTATATAACTATCTGTGTAATGTATGATAGCTACGCGTAAGTACAGAATAGATTATAATTAAAATGTACACATATAGCATCCTCAAACGACGGGACTCTACTCCTCGGGGACTATCTAAATCTATTACACGGGTTCATTGTCATTATAAACGTAATATGAGTATGTTTAACTTACATTTTTTATCTAAACTAACGATTAAGGCCCTACAATTACCTATGGTATGAAAGGAAGAAAAATATTGATATACGACAGTATAAAGAAAAGTCCTCTACGAGTAAATCATTCCTTATCATATTGACTTTATATTGTTTTTAAATTCGAGAAAAAATAAAAGTCAGTGTTATCACATGAAATCTAACACGTCACTTGAAAATTAATACATTTTTATAACCTAAAATTTGTCACTTTAACCCCCAGGAATTTCTAACCCAGTAATTTGCGGTTGAATACTAACATGTTATAATTGAATCAAATGTAGGTCATCGAATAAATTTGTAATATCACAATTTAACAAGTCATAATGGATGAGACAGACGTTCGCTGAAACCTATTTTATACCGGGAACAATAGCATTCAAAGGCATTCATTTTACTATCAAGAACGTCAATCCTTACAGCGTTTTGTATGCGATTCAGTATTCCATTACAATTAAAGAAAGACTATTCATAGGATATCAAAAACAGAAAAGATTTGCAGTAGACTCAACCATTTGTTTGCTACATTTTACGAGTATATAAGTTGTATGGGCCATTAGCCAATAATTATTTCTCATTTTTCTTTGGATTTAAATCATTTCTGTTTTAAAATTGTGGAAATACTCTTACGCCTCTTAACTTCCGTCTCACAAGTTGTGGTTGCAAGATGGTAATTTGATCTCAATGTTTGAGATCACAAGTGAAGAATGTAATTTCATTCATTGCTACATTTAAAAGAACCTTTTTATGTATAAATTCTTTTAATACATTAACTTGTAAAGAACTATGTAGAAGTCAAGATCAATAATAGCCTCTCCTGTGAGGAGTCGTTAAAGAAACATCGTAAAATACGTATCAACTTCAATGTAAGCCCGCATCGAACATTTACCAAGCGTCCTGTTTCTAAAGGTACTTTTCAAACGTCCCTGTCAGTCATTATAACATAACCTATTAATTCAAGGAATGAATGTAAAAGTAATTCATATTACAAGTATATGTCAAAAGGTTCACGTTTTGTATGCTTTTTATGTATTTTTCATTTGTATAAATGGTACTTTAAAATATAATTTAGAAATTATATATTTTTTTAATTAGATGTGGAAGTTGCAAAGGAGTTTTACTACGTATGCACTTACTTTACTTATGCACACTTGGTACTTTTAATATTAGTTCAATAAGGTTTCTTAAAGGAAATGGTTAAACCTCGGTTGTGCCGCTCGTCTTTTAGATATATCCCTAATCACTTGAAAAGAAACGAAAACTTATCCGTTTGCTCGTTTATTCGGTTCAACAATATAATTAAATGGTGTTTAATTAAAAGTGTTAAAAGTGGTTTGTGATCGCAGGGTGTTGTGTATGCGCGCCGCAAGGCAGTGTGCAGGGCGGCGTGCAGGGGGGTGCGCAGGTGCCGCCGGGGGTGCCGCACTCCACCGCACCGCCGCCGCCCGCCGGCATCGGCGGCGTCCGCAAGTACGGACCTCAAATTACCTTATCTACAACCGCCTCTGTCTTTTCTCTACTGCTGACACTGTCTTTAAAATGCCGCAAATAAACTAGTTGTTAAAACATCTTAAACTTACTACTAAATAAAAACAAATCTAAATCATTAAATAATTTAGCCGTTTAGTTTTTTTTTCGCATTAGTATTTCACTCAGCATTTCCGGCATTCTAAGGATAATCCAATCCAATCACTATCCAATAACAGTATTGAAATCCCATTCGACGCATACCTATTATCGATTTCCTCTTCCGTTGTTCGAATCTGTATTTCACTGAGCACGTGGCAAACTACATGATATAAATGTGTTTGGCTTCCTTCCTAATGTGTGTTGTAGACAAATGCGACTCGATACGTCATAACTTACGATGCCCCACTCATCACAACAACAGTCGGAACATACAAGAATTCATACCAAAATACTTTTTACAAACAACTTTAAACATACACTATACATTTTATAAACAGTTAGTTAACTTATGTTTTAGTATAGATTTTATTTCATTTACATTACGTTAATATCAATTTACAAAAAGATTGTGGATAAAGTATATTTACAGATTATCAAAATCTTTATTCTATGATAATTTATTCTGGGAATAAATGTCAGTTTTATTCATCAGCACGAGACAATATATTTACGATATTATTAAAAGTTTATGTCAATATTATTCAGTTATAGAGAATAGTTTATTTAAGCTTAACGGAATAGAAGAAAACAGATAAATAGATGGTTACGGCTGTAACAAACAGTATACTTACGAGAAATAATTGACTTAGATGATCGAAAATTTTAATTTAAAAATGCATTATAAGTTCCCATACGAACCTCGCACAAGATCCAAAAACTCCTATTTCCACAAACACATATTTAAATCCTATTTTAAGACATTGGCAAAGTTACCTTTATGTTTAACTTAAATTAAAAAAAACTTATTTCTTAATTTTTAGTCTGTGACATGTTATTTTGTGTTCATTTAATTATTATAATTTTCTTTTAACATATGTATTACTAAGACATATTATGTATTTCATATTTTACGATCCGCGACAAAACGGGTGCGACGAGATTACGTAAGTAACTTGTTCTATAGACGATCAGTATGCAGTAAAAAGCCTATTTTTTATAAATATTCTAGGTATCAAACGCAGACATCGTATTTGCTAAACCGTCGAGTATTACCGATCGGTAAAGTAATAATGTAGGCCTAGAACAGCTGCATGACACCGATGTTATTTGCACGTATTATACACATAGTTAACAGACGTAAGTATTTAATCTACATTACACAACGGATTTTGTAATTTATCGATCTATGTGTGACACAAATTTTAACCGCAGTAAGCTTTCGAGTAAGTATTTGTGGATAAAGAAAATCAATTTGTAATCCTGGATATACGTATCTGTTAAAATAATATAACAATGTATAAAATATGTTTGCGAAATTGAATTGTTTTATCGATATTGATCAAATTCCCTTTCCTATGTCCATTTATTGCATACGTAGTAATGATATAGTAATTTTGAATGATATTTTGTTTCTATAAAGTATATTATATTATGTATCTGTGACTTGAAATTCGCGGTGCGTGCATTTTGTCGATATATCGTGGAAGCATCACTAGTAAATTTGCATTCGCATGTAACACCTCTTGTAGGTTAGGCGCCATGCACGAGTATTGAAATGTCCTGAGGACGGAATGAGCTAACAATTCAATTTCGCTTTTAGCTTCGACCCAGCATACTATGTACGGTTTGTCAGCTTCAGCGTTGAAGAATGTAGGTTTTTAATTCAGATTCGATAATAACTGAATCAAACTCAGCCTTTTGCGAAACAAAACCAAGCTTTTATTATCAAATTCAGAAGTTTTCGTGTCAATTTGGCATTTAAACTACGGAATTTCATTTTTAAAAGTAACATTTCTTTTTGCAAAAGGTTAAAATTGATTTCTAGAAATTGGAATTTGAATGTCTTAATAAGCTTAGTACTTAATTACGAATCTCAAAGAATGTAAATCTGATACCTTCAAAGGAAAAGTACAGTGATCATCTTATTCAGTGATGCAGCTTAGTTTGTACCCGGCAGTGGACTCATTAGCATGTTTGTACACAGATTCAGTCAGTATTCCAGAGGGCGTGGGTATCGCGACTGGCGGACCCGCGGCGACCCCACGCTCATCAATTCGCTGTGGCGCAGCCGACAACCGCTCGGGATACGGAAACAGCTCGGTAAGGCATTAACATAATACATACCGCGACCCCATTACACATTCGACAAATTATTAATCATCTGTATCCGAAAATGGAATAAAAAAAATCTGATTCTAACCTTCAAGATTACGATCTAAATATTTATCTGACTTTAACCTTATGTGTACTTAGATTCCAAGTGTAAACAAAATAACATACAATCTTCGAGCAATTTAAAATCTTTGCTTACACATTTCTAACTACATTATGTCTTTAAAAAGCTCTAGTTTCGTGCTATTAAGTTTTTAGTATCACATAATGTGAGTATAAAATTATTATAATATAAATTAGTAGGAACAAACCTTGGGACAAGACATGCTCGTTAGCCTGGAAATATAAAATGAAGAGCATATTGAAATTGCGCCATGATTTCTGTTTTCCAAGATAATCAATAGTCCTCGATTTTAAACAATTTGTTGTTGTACAATTATTTACTTACCTACGCATTTAACAACTTCAAATAACTTAGTATTTGATTCATCGCCAAGACAAAAAAGTCTTAAAGTATTTAATTGTTACCATTAGGCATAGTGTACTAGAAATTGGAAAAATCGATAATTATGTTTTCAATGATGTAAAGAAAGTAGTAGTTTGAAAAATCTCAGAAATTTAATTAAAGTCTTACCATGATATAATTGAAGTATAACTTACTATCAGAGCGGAGCTTTGATGATAAAGCGACGCTCGGTTAAACGCCTCAGAGGGCTATTAACAACTCCTTAGGTGCGGCTTGCTTTTACATTGGAGCCATTAACTTCATACAGTCAGGTCTCATATCTAGCGCTCAAATTGCTTTAGAGGTAAATAAATCATTCTAGGGTTAATCGAAATCTAATTTTAGGGATGTACCGCCTTGACTAATCATGAACTATTTATTTCTGTGATTGTTTAATAATTGAGATGACGTTATGTAGGCAACGCGGAGGTTTATATAGTGCTGGCGCTGTTGATCGGGTTCGTGACGGTGGTGGTAGGATGCTGGCTGTCGGACAACTGCTGGTCGCCGGAGCCGGAGGACGCGCTAGCCGGCTGACCCGTGGCGGCGGGCGCGTGCACGCACGTCTAGCGCCCGCCCGCCGCGGCCTCGCCCGCGACTCCGCCGCCGCCGCCGCCGCCACGCGCACCTCGCGCGCCCACCCTCCTGCACGCTGCGAGCCACCTATGCCGCGGCGCCTGCCTTGCGCTGCCCTGCGACACACAGCAGCGGCTTTTCTGACCCCAGCCCTCCTCCTGTCGCCTTCACGAAAAAACTAACGGAACGCACCCAATGGTCAACGGTGTATGCGACAGCGAGTGAGACAAAATATAAACAAATGCGTGTTTTGTGTCTGATCTAAAACGGCGACAAGGTGCAAGTAACTTTACTGAATAAGAGCTTCGATTTCTATGTATTTTGATGTGTGAAAACGTCTAAAGTGTGTGATTTAAAACTCGGTATAAGAATGAAAAAGACGGCGCCGCCGGGGACAGCGCAGTGTAATCGGATCTATCATTGTAGGCAACGCTTCTAGCGGTCGCTCTGACTCGACTCATCTAACCTCACCTATCGCGTGGTGCGCTACGACTTACGCACCACTTCACTATTGTTTCTAAAAGTATGTGCCTTTGAACGCTTTCCTCGTCTCGACATTGTAGTTTAGAGTGTGTTTTGTAACCCTTTAGAAGACATTTCTTCTCTCTGTCTTTAAGGACACGTTAACCGATATGATAAGTGCAATACACATCATGACCGTGCCTTTACCGTTCTATAGACTTTGAGAGGGACGTAATTAACAATAGGTTTAAAAAACGGTTTCCTCGACGGAGAAATACATGACCGATTGTTTTTTGTATTTTTGTAAAGAACCAGTCTTTGTTTTAATAGCTTTTTTTTTGTTGTAATGAAGGACGACAGCGTTTTTAAATAGAGGAAAGTTAGTTAGGACCAAAAGTCTTTCACATTAATGCGTCAATTGGGATATAATTAAAATTTCATGGTCATAGGATAGAGTTCAAGTTTGAGAGACAACGATACGGTAACATGACTAAATGTAGAATTTTGATACATTTTTTGGGAGTTTGTAAGTTAACTACACACGTAAATATATAGATTTGAATACGACAAAATGTCACATGATTATTGTACAGTATTTTAACGTTTTAATATATTTGATAACCTTATCATGGAAACTGAAAAGCACAAAATTGTATTGATTACAACGAGATTTTACTACCTTACATTGATAATTTTATTTTCATATGTTTATTTATTTACAATTAGCCCACAAACTAGTATTTTTCACATTCTAAAAAGTGGCAATAATCTCAATCATCGATGTTTAAACATAACATGCTAACTTTGATAAAAATGAATCTAATCTAACCATTTTAATGAGACTACAAAAATATATGATTCAGTCATGTGCACAAAAACTGCGTAGTGTTCGAGTTTGTGAAGTTATTGGATTGCACAGTTAATAAATAACAAAGGTAATGTAGCGTGTAAAGTGTGTTTATGCATTTTATAACTTTAATAAACTTGACAATCGTTTAGATGTTTGTATTCAGTAAATATTTTTAGGTCGCGAAATGTGTTTGAAGCTTTTTTAATAGTCTAAATGTGTAAAAAGTTATTACTGTCTATGTGAGTTACAACAGTGTTTGTAAGAACTTTTTGATGAAATTAGGAACTTAATTTAAACTAAGCAATTTTGTACATCCACGATTATAATTCGTTTATTAAATTTACTTCAATTTATGTCGTCTCTCTTGGTATATATGCTTATTTATTTCATGTCATGTAAATCCATTTATATATGGTAGGTTTCAAAATATAATATGTATATTGTACTATACTGTTCTAAACAAGGTGCTCTAGGATATTACAATGTGATTTGCTTTCATCATTCATACATTTAAAAAATTTAATAAAATCGTTGAAAACATTAGAAGATTAATATTACATTTATTTGTAAATGAAAATCATCTAAAACTGCCTATAATAGCTGTCACTATGTTCCTAAGTTTACCCAATTTAATATACAAGAGAATCGTGTCTGGAAACTTGGTGAAGTTTCATATTAATTTCAACCAATGTTACAGTAACTTTAAAGTAACAAAATTGTAAGATTAAGTATAATCTTTAATATACAAATGGCACAAAAGTATATTATTTTTCCAATGTTTAAGTGCACACAATTGTTATCGCCGGTACAGAGTACAAAAACCTTAGGACTTTCTTAAATTAAAAGTAAAAGACCGACGTGATGTAATTTTCAATGTACTATCATAGACATCGCTATTACGAGTACAACCGAATCACAACATTGCTACATCAAAACATTTTCAAATCACATTAACGAAGACATTTTTTCATTTTTCGCTTCTCTGACCGCTGATTCTGAACTAAGCATTATGGATCGTAGTGTCTATGGTGAACACTGCTTTCTTTCCAATTTCTTGTGATTTATTTTTTATGACTTTATCAAGTTTAACGCGGATTTCTTGCACGAACTACCCGAAACGTAAACTTTTATTAAACCTTCGTAGATTTATTAAACCTATTCTACTTTTAGGAATTCGAACTAAATGTTTATATACTTTAAGTAGATAACATTTAAATGAAAGATTTTTTTTTTGACAGGAGTCGCACATGACATGATCTAGTCTAGAATTAAGTAATTTACAAGTACTAAATTGAAATTGTTTGTGAAATAACATTTTTGTATTAAACCTAATACAGGAGTATATAATATAGTCACTTATATAGATGTTACATGTAAATATCATACCAAGATAATACTAAAGCACGTGTTTGTATAAGTATGCATAATTTACTAGTGTTACCCATTTTAGTCTATAAGGAAACCGACTGAATAGTCAATACTTTTAAGTAATTTGTAACATTTTTTAGATAATAGATACCTGTAGACAATAGTTATCAAAACCATAAAGTTTTTTTTAATTCTATCACCGCGCCTAGTAGTTTGCAACTCAGTAAAGTAAATATACCATCACCGTTGTTTATGGTTTTAAAAAAATTGTGAATGTATAGTTTACATTTTAATCTTTTAATTATATTATCTGTGTTGTATTCAAATATATATTTAGTCAAATAAATGAACATAAGCTTTAGTTCAATTACTTTGTTTGCATTTATATGTAGAGATAATTTATTAAACATAATTGTAATTTAATTTAGGCATTTTTATGTGTATAAACTATGGAGGCATCAGTTTCGGCGCGCGTTGCTGAGACTGGCTGGCTTGGCTGAATTAGGAATTGAGAAAACATGTACGCTCAATATAACATTTAGTGAAATAATAATTGTAATAATTAATAATAATTGTCACGAATAATTCGAATAAATGTAATAATAATCATGAGATTTTTTTCATTTCTTGCTTGAATACTGACGGGTTCGCAGCGAGGCTAATGAAAATATTCAAGAGTGAACTCATAAAAGGAAGTTTTTTAAAGCAAACTATTTCCATAGAGATGTAGGCCGTGGCGTATACCGCCGGGCGACAGCCTCTGTGCCCGCATACATTCACTTGCGGTAAACATATAGGTACCTACAATTCACACAACAAACTCTATCTTAACCGTTGCTTTACAAAAAATACTCATATTTTTTTAGAAATATTAAGTAAAAGCTACAGAAACATTCAGAAAATAAGATATTTTTATGTGAATGTTTTCATCATGTTACAATTTAACGAAATTTTCTATCCTATGTATTAAGACTTTGTCGATGATTTTGAGAAATGTATCTATTAATTATCAAGTAAATATGTAGATAGATATTGCATAACATAATTTCAACATAACTAATTATTTTCATAATATTTTATACATTGGTAAATGAATAGTCTAACAATATACAAGTTTCATGAGTATTTATAATAGCAGCTATTTCGCATAAAACAAGTGCGTCGGCTGCCATATCCGTTGGCTACGGAAATGTGCACATTATTTATTCACCGGGTTCTTTTCAGCGGAGACTCTCAACTCGGCTGCTTCACCGGAATGCCGCACTAGTTATAAACACCCGGTGTTTTCTTTTTTTTTATTCAAATTAGGAGTATCCGAAAAAGTGGCCATTAGCACCTTTAAGCATTTTTTAATTATTTTTTTAATTGTTTTCACAAACGAAAGCAACTTGAATGTATGGATTACAATCGTAAAGTCAAATACACCATCTTTGTACAGTAGCGTAATTAAAGTTAGATTGTATAATTATTACTTTAACTAGCTTTCGCCCGTGATTTCATCCGCGTGTAGCCTATGACAAATGTCATCGAGATCCGTTGAACCGTTTAGGCTACAAACTCTAACAAACAAACAAACATCCATCGTTCTAAACATACGCATAACATTAGTAAGAAGTAAGATGTGTCAGTAACTGCTCTACCCTACCTATTTAAAACCCTCGACGAGAAAGTTCATTGATAAAATGTCATAATCTAAATATATTTAACATTAGATCTATTTTAATCTTAGGTCACACCCGATCACCCGTAAGAGGCTGCGGTATTTGGATAAAAATATCACTATCTATTTTCATATTAAACACCTTTTCGTGCTGTCAACCCCGCTATAGGGAGGTGTAATCTGGGATAGCACGGCTATAAAAGTGTATCGGGGGGCTATATCCGTCCGTTGTCAGAGTTGGTCTTTTTATAGGGTCGGAACTTTGATCATTACTCTCTCTAGCGAAGTAAAACTAATATATAAGTTCACCTGTTCTCAACAGAGTAGTTTATCGCGACAAATTGAAAACAAAACTTCTGGCAATAACGTTTATTTGCGGTCTTTCCTTATGTGCATTGCATATCTAATTTGATACGTCATGAGTGATATTTATGGGGCGGGTTATTACCTTTTTTTTTATTTATTTCAAAGTGAATAGCCTATGTGTTCTTTCAGACTATCCTCTATATCTATACCAAATTTCATCGAAATTGGTTCAACCGTTTAGGCTACAAACTCTAACAAAGATCCATCTATCCACCTAAACTTTCGCATTTATAATATTGTAGTAAGACTATTAAG